ATCATGTTAAAAACCGAACCGAAAGGAAAAAGTCGAGAAGCCGAAATGAGGAGTTTAGAAACAGTCTCGATCCTTGAGGACAAGGATGTGCTTAAAGGGGGCGGGAATGATGCGGAAGTGGTGATCGAGCCCGGAGAACACAAGAGTTGGACAGGCGTGGCCGATGGGCGAATGGGCGAGAGACGCGCATCGGGTGGTGATTTGCGGGCATTGGGCGTACACGCGGGCAGAGTCCTCGGAAAGACGGGCACTCGATGGCACGCGCGCGAGAGGATCGATTGGAACTGGGCACGCAAGAAAGCGTGCGGGTGTAGCGCAAACGCGGGAGTCCTACACCGCGAAAGCATAGGCGTGCTGGACGCATACGCGCACAATTGGGCAACTAGCGGCAATAGCGCGCCATGGGCAAGGAACGCAAGCGGGGCAATGTTGGGTGCACGCACGGGTAGGCAGCGCGCGAGATTTAGCGGGACGCGCGGGGCGAAGGGCAACGGACGTGCAGGGCGCGCATCACGCGTGAATGAGAGTGACGCGGGTGGAGGCCTAGGCAGCGTCAGAATAGGCGTGGCATGGGCAACCGGTTGGTACGCGCCAACCAGCGCGCGGGAGCAGACGGCGCGCGCATCAGCATGCGTGTGGGGTGACGGGCGCCAGCGAGTCCGCAGCCTTCAAGGACTAGGCGCCGTGGGACGCGCACGCGTACGCGAGAGGCGGTCGCGCATTAAGTCGGCCGAGAGATTGGGGGCGTGTGAATTACTTGGGCATCAAGTTGTGCTTGGTGTGCAAGTAACTTGGAGATCAAGACCTTCTAGTTTATTAGGATTCTATTAGATATTTACTTTCCATATTGCTTTTATTTATTAGTAGTAAAAGATATTAGGAGATTTACTAGCATTAAGATTTATTTTACTGCATGAATTAGGAGATCTAATTAGATTAGAATTAGATCTAGTTTGTGCCTATATAAAGGCCATTCCCCTATGTTATGTTTAATCATTGAATCATCCAAGAATTAATAGAAATCAAGAACTTTTGTTCATTCTCTCTTTGCTTTAGTTTTTTCACCAAAATTTTAT